ATGGTGATGACGAGAATTAAGATCGCACACAAAACGTTTCCACTGGTTTATTGAAGTTAACGATTCTCATCTTCACATTCCAAAGTCAAGATATACAGTCAATCTCTCTAGTACATTGCACATGACTTTTCTTCACTTGTCATTTTTCATTCTAACGTAATTCTTCGATGAATTTTCCATTTTTTAAAACCGGAATTTGTGGCTATAATGGAATTTTAAGGGAAATGCCATCAGACGCATCTGAGTGAGCGCCAGAATCACTAAGAATTCATCATTTCTGATTGAATTTATCACCAACGGTGATAAATTGCCTCATAATCGTTTAAAACATTTGCAAATATAAGCTCCCCGTTTAAATAATGATAAAAATCATTGGAAAGCGTCGAAACGCGTAAGCTCAAAAGCAATCGAGTGATGAAAAGAAATAACCTGAAAACATGACTCATTAGAGCGCATAAAATAAAATTGAAACTGCTATTGATCAGTGAGAGCAGATCAATGAAATCACCCAAATATTGCATCGCGTAACGTACACCCGGTTTAACACCTGCAACACTTTTATGATGCTTGAACAACGGATTTGGTTTCATTTGGTCAAACTAGAACATTATTCTGACCACGAAGAAGNTGATTTAAATCAAGTGCTGATGGCTAACATCAAACTAAAATGCAGTTATATTTGCATTAGCAAGCCGAGACAAATTAGCTGAATTAGAGAAAAACTTTAATTCCGGTCTGGAGCGATCAACATCAAGTGAAGTTTAATGCGAAAAATTGCAAGCATGGAAGATGCAAAGTGTTTTCTGAGTACACGACAGCATTTCCGAGCGACCCTCAATCAAACTACTATTTTCTTTCAAAATATATTTTGCAAAACGGTTCGCAAGTTTTTTGTCAGTCAGTCGAACTGCTTCAAAATTAGACATTTAACTGATGATCTGTGTGTGAATATGTTCTGCTGGATTCCCGATCATTCCTTTCGAGCAATCTTGCGTCAGAGATGCTATTATAGGTGCCTTCAAGTCAACTATTCACCAGTACCTGTAGCAAAAACCAGTAATCCTTGTGGTGCTTCAGTGATCAAAAAAACTGCCACAATAGCGGTCAGCATGGATGTGGTGCGTTCGGCTTGTGATTTACCCGTAGCCGATCCACCGCACAGTCGAGTTCGTCGTTCACGTGCTTCCATCAACATACGAACGAGTAAAGTCATGAAGATGGTCAGCATCAAGCACGGAATCAATTTCAACACCAGTCCTAAAAAGTGCACAACAATCTTTTTATCACTGGTTTTGCTCATAACCACATCTCATACTGTATGTTGC